CTCGGCCATATAAACCCATTGGGTAATGTTGGGCAAGTCACACTCTCTCAGCCTTGGAATGGCAAACCCCCTCTGAAGAAATCTAGCAAGACAACTCCACGATGAGGTTGGGATAAGTTGCCATAAGTTGGAAACAACTTGAAGAAGGCACACAACATCAACAACAATGTGGAAATTACATTCTCAATTATGGTAAGAGCCGCAAACAATAGTATTGGGATGGAAACTAAACAGTGTTGGGACAAAAAAAGGGAGTATTATATTGCAGAATATCTCTTACCTGTTGTGTTGTTTTTTTAAGGGAGAGAAAAGGAAAATATGGCAAAATAAAGGAAATGATCTGGTGGGATAAGTAGGATTTTTTGTATTGACAACATCAAAGGTGACAAAGGGTATAAAGAAGTGAGAAAAATTATTAATAAGATATTCTACATTACAGGTACGGATTATTAAAATATCTGTTATATCCATCGGAAGGGGATGGGGAGTGGGGTTGAAATATTTGTGGTGTGAAAATTGAAATATTTGGTAATGATTTATTATGTAAGTTGTATGGTATTATTGAGCATAAAATCAATAAATAAGGGAGGGAAAGAGAACTGCAGGTAATATTATAAGTGGTGGTCTTTTCTGTGTTTTTCCTGAGTTAATAGAATATCTGAAGGTATTTAGATAGAATACTTGAAGGTATTTAGATCTCTCCCCTTTCCCTTCCTACCTGACCTATTACTAGTCCTTCCTCACCCCAAAATTAATTGCCAGAATGGTAAAATCTGTCTGTTAACGATAGACAATGGCCCCAAAGCAGAAGATTGCATTTCAAGAAGAATGCACACAAGAATTTCCGTCAGCAAAACGAAGACGCACGCAATGTGAAGCGGATGGCCAATTATGCAAGTAAGTTTATCGTAGGCTAAGCTGAAAATGTTTCGTATCAGAAAGAATTACTATATATTTTTGTTTTATTCGATAGTAGCAGCTAGAATAATTTACGCAACAAAGTGGAAAATTAAAGAAATTCCAACAATAAGAACATGGCTAGTTAAATTGTATGACTATATGGAGACTGATAAGTTGACATGTTTGATAAAGAAAAAAAGGAATAGAGGTATTCAAAAAAGATTGGAAACCAGTGATTGAATGCTGGCGGAAAGAACGGGGATCACCTGTCATCTTAAAATTAGAGTAATTTGAAAGAATCCCTTAAATAATGGGTAGGTTATAGAATTATGGAGGAAAAGTCAATTGTTATATTTGGGAAATCGTTTTGTGGAGATACAAATATGATGGAAAAGGGTAAAGTACTATAAAGATTGAAGTTGAATATAAAGTTAGGAAAGAACAAGACATGAAAGATAAGGAAGTTTGTTTATGTTGATTGTCTAGTTATATTTGTATTGTATTGTACTGTATTGCATATATGTGTCCTTTTAAGTAATTAAAAAAAAGAATTATTATATATTTTTATACTATGTAGGCTATTTGTAAGGAAACAATACAAGAATATGAAGTTAAGTATTATTTGTAAAGATAGAAATAATCCTGTATTTTCTGTGTAGATATATACATTAAGAATAAGAAGAAAGATGTAGAATATTGTGAATAAAAATCATAAAGGAGGGGTCAAGATAAGAGATAAGTGAGGATGTTTAAATATTTGAAGGGGTGTCATATTGAGGATAGAGCAAGCTTG